CGCCACCCCCTCCTTGTCGTACGGCAGCGCGCGGCGGTGGCAACGGATGGCGGCGTCCAGCAGGCCCAGCTGCTCCTGCTGGTAGCAGTGGCCCATGGCGTTCCACATGCGCGCGTCGTGCGGCCGCAGCTGCACGGCCCTGCCAGCACGAAGCGCGGGAGCGGCAGGCAGGCAGGCAGGGGGGCTGTCAATGATCAGGGTGGTTTGTGGTGTCGTAAAAGCAGCAGCGCCCTGCCGCACCCACATTCCATCAACAAGCCGCATGCCACCACCAACCACCTGGTTGTCCTCCTCCTTCTTCCCTTGCCTTCCACCTCCCTTCCTTTCCTCATCCATCCACCCACCCACCACCCACACCAACCACCCCACCCACCTTCTAAAGTAGTAGAGGGCATAGTAGGGCATGTTGACCAGCTCGTACGTCTGGCCCAGGCCGTACCAGGCGCGGTAGTCGCGGGGGTTGACGTCCACAGCGTGGCGGTACGCCTCTGCGGGCGGTACCGCAGAACGGTGCAGGAGGTAAGTGACACAGTAAAGTACGCCGCATGCGGAAGCATCTGGCAGGAGGTGGCAGCGCCCAGGCATGGCGGAGCCGGAGCGGGCAGAGACGACGCCCAGCAGCCCGGCCGGCACGCCGCCGCCCGCGCCAGGCCCGCCCTCCGGCCGGCCAGCGGGCTCACCGATGGCGGCGGGCGGGTTCTTGAGCTCCACAAACTCGTGGCCCATCAGCGTCCAGGCGGCCAGGTAGGCGGGGTTGAGGCGCAGCGCGCGACGGAAGTACTGCACAGCGCGCTCGTGCATGCCCCTGCGGGTGCCGAGGGTCGGGTGGGCGCGCAGGCAGACAGACGGGGGTGGTAAGGGTGGGAAGGTGGGTGTGGCCCTCTGTCACCCAAGGTGTTGCTCAGCAACTATGTCTCCTGGGGCCCCGGCTGCACCGCACACACGTACGCCACACACACCACCGCCACCACCGCCGCGGCCGCACCCTCACCTCAGGGAGTAGTAGTTGCCTATGACGCAGCACGTCTCCGGCCGGTACTTGTCCGCCCCGGCGCAGCGGTGGGCCAGCGCCGACAGCGCCGCAAACTCCTCCTTGACGTACAGGATGTTGGAGTAGATGTCCATGCCCTGTGCGGTACAGCAGTGGTACAGGAGGCGCCACGCGGCGGTACGTACACACTCACACTGCATGCGAATGGCCACCACCACCACCACCCCACCAGCAGCACCACCACACCGCCGCCACCTCATCACGCGCCAGGCTCCCTGTGCGCACACACCCACCTCTATCCTGTGCGGGTCCCGCAGCAGCAGCCCCTCAAACAGCTCCTGTGCCTCGTCAAAGTTCTGCAGGTTGTAGTGGGCCAGCGCCGCCAGCAGGATGACCGCCTCGCCGCGCGGGAACTCATCAGACAGACCCTGCGGCAAGCAGGCGAGCAGGCAGGGTGGTGGGGTGGGTGGATGGTTGGGAGGGGTGGCGGAGGGGCCGGGCAGGGACGGAGGCGAGCAGGCAGCAGGCCAGCAGCTGCGAGGCGGAGCTCAAAAGGGGGAGCAAAGCGCAGCACGGCAGAGCGTGAGTGTGCTGCTCGCCGCCCACCTCCCTTGGACCCCTCCTGGCCACCCCACCGCCGGCCCCGCCACACCTGCAGGTGCTGCAGCGCCTCTGCGTTGTGGTGCATGTCCACGCACAGCGAGGCCAGGAAGAAGCGGCGCATGAAGTGGTCGGGCAGCGGCAGCTGGCCCACGGCCGCCAGGTCGGCACACACCGACTGCAGCGCCTGCAGGGGCGGAGGGCCGGGGATGGAGGCGGCGGGTTTGGGGGCAGGCGCAGGCGCAGGCATCAGGGGCGAGTGTGGGTGGGATACATGCCGCCAAGGACCAGTCGGCCAGGTGGTGGGTGCCAGCGAGCCACAGGGGGCTCGGCGCCACCGGGCTGTTGCACCCGCTGCGGTCCGAGGGCCACCCACCAGCCAGGCGCTCCAGTTGCAGGGGTAGGCGGTCACCGAGGCCGCCAGCGCCTGCCGCGCCTCCTCCTTCTTCTCTCTGCACAGCCAGCCGCCGGTCGCATCACCACACGCATTCCCGTGCCGGCCCGCGGCTGCATGCCTTGGTTCAGCACTGCGACCACTGACGTCTCCCGTCCGCCGCGCTTCCCCGCCTCAGCTGCACCCACCCACCTGTCTGCCAGCACCAGGCCCAGCAGGTAGAGCAGGAAGCCGTCTGCCTGCCCCGCCGCCACGAGCGCCTGCAGCTCCCCTTCGAGACCGTCCAGCTCTGTGTTGGCCGCTGCGGCCGCCTCCCCAGCCGCCTTGCTCTCTATTCGCTCCTCCCTGCGTCAGCGGGATGCGAGCTGGCGCGTGGTGCACCTGCCGCCACATGCCGCCAAATGCAACGACGGCAGCAGCAGCAGCAGCAGCAGCAGCAAGGGCAAGAAAGGCAGGGCCCCCTCACAGCAGGCCAGCAGGCGCAGCGGCTGGGCTCACTCCTTCCGCTTCTCTCCCGCTAGGTAGGTTGCGTAACCGCGCAGGAACAGCGACAGCTGGTCGCGGCTGTCCCGCAGGGCATGCGCCGCGCTACGGTACTCCTGGACGGGGGCGAGGCGAGGCGGTCCAGGCTGCCGGTCGAGCGGCTGCGTGACCAGCGGCCCTCATCACACATGCGTGCTCCAAAGCACACACAGGCGTGCCCCTGACCTGCGCATGAGCGCCCCCCACCTCCCCGCACCTTAAGGTCGAAGAAGCTCCTAGCCAGCTCGAATGCTGCGCTGCCGCTGGGAGGTGCTGCTGCCGCCGCCTGCGAGGACACCATCACCTCCTCCTCCGGCAGACCGCACAGCGCGGTCGCCGCCCACTTGGCCGAGGCATACAGGGCGCGGCTGCGGCAGTCGTGCACCGCCTGCCGCAGCTCCTGCGCCTGCATAAGCGATCAGGGAGGCCGAGTGCTGCCGGCGTTCGTTGACAGCGATCAATGCCGGTGCAGCTATGTGATCGCGCGATGATGCCGGTGAGAAAGCGAGCCGAGAGTGCCATGCGAGGCTGAGGTGGCGGACAGTGCTCTTCAACACTCAGGCTTTCGCCGCCGCCGCTACTCTTTCACCTTGCCCGTTATGTACTGAGTCAGTCGGGCGCTTGGCAGGCGGGTCCAATTGTCGTCACCGAGATGGCAGTGCGAGAGGGAGAGGGCGTGCTGATGAAGGCCACGCTGCTTGTGGAGGGCCTGCATTGCGTTGCGTGCTCCGAGGCAGTCGAAAGCTGCCTCTCGACCGTGCCCGGCGTCACCCAGGCCACCTGCTCGCTGTTGGAGAATAGAGCGCAGGCAAGACGTCCCTGCGTCTGTGGCATGCACTGGCCGGGGCAGAGCGGAGAGGGAGGGGCACCGCAGCGGGTATAAAATGTGGGGATAGCGGAGGGCTCACATAAGCCCACGCGCCGCTCTTCACCTCCCACGAGCTCCCCGCAGGTGGAGTATGACAGCCAGCAGGTGGAGGATCTGGCAGCCCTGGTGCAGGCGCTGGAGGCCGCGGGCTTCGGCGGGTCGGTGCAGGCAGTGGAGCCCGTGGCGGCGCCGCCGCTGCTGGCCCGCTTCCGTGTGGAGGGCATGACTTGCAGCAGCTGCTCCTCTGCGGTGGAGAGCGCGCTGGCGGCGCTGCCGGGCGTGCGCCACGCCGCCGTGTCGCTCACGCTGCAGGAGGCCAAAGTGGAGTATGATGGGGCGGCCGCCGACGAGGTGGGTGTGCCGGGGTTGGGTCGCAGGGGTGATGCAAGAACAGGGGTGGAGGCCCCTGGCTGGGCGGCCACCTGCATGCCTCTGCAGTCCCCCGGGTGTTCCCCACCGCCGTGGCGCAACGGCACCTCTCCCTGCCGCCCGCCGCCCGCAGGCCCAGCTGCAGCAGGCGATCGAGGATGCCGGCTTTGGCTGCTCGCTGCTGGGCAGCGGCGAAGCGGCCAGCCTGCATCTGGCGGTGGGAGGCATGGCCTGCTCCTCCTGCTCCACCGCGCTGGAGGGCGCGCTGCGGGGGACGGAGGGCGTGCTGGAGGCCGCCGTCAACCTGCTGACCAGCAAGGCAGAGGTGGGGGCCGCGGCCGCGGGGCCTGGGCCCTGCCCGCAGCCCAAGCTTAGCTCTACACTCTTGTTTCAGCTCTTGAGATTGTGTTGCAGTGGAGCTTCTGGAGGGCTCCCAGGCTGAACGCGCCTGAGCAAGGGGGGCCCCCGTGCGTCTGTGTACCCAGCCTGCCTGCCCTGTACCGCCTCCGCCTCCCCGCCACCGCAGGTGCGGTACAACCCCGACCAGGTGGGCCCCCGCCAGCTCATCCAGGTGGTCACAGACCTGGGCTACACAGCGCAGCCCGTGGACGACGCCAGCCACGTGGACGGTGCAGCGCTGCGCGAGAAGGAGAAGCAGGTGGGGCTGGGAGTGCGTGGGGTGGGGTGGGGTGGAGGCGGGCGCGTGCTGGCGTGGCTCGCCTCCCTGCGTGCCGTGCACCGCGCTGGAGGCAGCCGGCTGGAGGCAGCCTGCAGCAGGCCGCCAGCTCGTGACTTTGATGGCACTCACCCTGCGCCCGCCTCCCCCGCCCCTCCATGCTGTTCTGGCCCGCAGTTTTGGAAGCGCAAGTTCCTGTGGTCGCTGCTGTTCAGCATCCCGCTGTTCCTCATGTCCATGGCGAGTGCCTGCCGCCTGGCCTGCTAGCAACCGGCGCACTGGTTTTCCATGCCATCCAGAACTCCTCGCTGTCTGGGCACCCTCCCCCTTGGCTGGGCTTAAGACTTGTCTTGATATGCATGGCTGCCTGCCGCAGGTGTTCATGTACATCCCCGGCACCAAGCACCTCATCGAGCTGGATGTTGGCGGGTTCATGCTGGGAGAGATCATCGCATTCGTGCTGGCCACGCCCGTGCAGGTGAGGCGGGCGGCCCTGGCTGGCTGGCTGGCGGGCTGGCCGGCAGGTGGCAGCCCTGCTGCTTTCCTTGTGCGCCTGCTCAGGCTGAGAACGCTGGAAGCGAGCGCGGTGCAGCGGTTTGGATGCCCCTGGATTGCCCCTCCACCGCGCCGCCTGGACTGCGGCCTCCGCACCACTCCCCCGCCGTGCGCAGTTTGTGATTGGGTGGACCTTCCACCGGGGCGCCTACAAGGCGCTGCGCCGCGGGCGCGCCAACATGGATGTGCTGGTCAGCGTGGGCACCAACGCAGGTGGGCCCCGCCGGGCGGTCCCACACTGCGTGTGGTGCCCGGCCAGCTGGCCTCTGCTGTGCACCTGTCCCTAGCTCATCCTCCCCTGCCTCCCTCGCTTCCTACTCCCCTCCCTCCCTCCCCTCCCACTCCCCTCCCTCCCTACCCCACCACCACCACCACCACCACCAGCGTACGTCTACTCCATCATCTCCATCGTGGTGAGCCGCGTGGAGGAGGAGTTTGAGAGCCACGGCCTGTTCTTCGAGACATCCGCGCTCCTCATCACCTTCATCTGCCTAGGTGAGCGCCGGGCGATGGCAGCCTGGCCTGGCCGGGACTGGCCGGGACTGGCGAGGAGGCCAAAACAAAACAGTGGGTGCGCCTGTCCATCCGACCATTTAATGGCCCTGCCCATGCCCCCTCCTCAACACCCCCAACCCCACCCCACCCCACCCCACCTCCCAGGCAAGTACCTAGAGGCCGCGGCCAAGGGGCGCACCTCCAGCGCCATCAGCGAGCTGCTCAAGCTGGCGCCCGCCACGGCCATCCTGTGCATCGCAGACGAGCAGGCGCGGAGCGGCTGGAGGGGCTGCCTGCCCGCCTGCTGGCCCTGTCCTGCCTCCCCGCGTGGTCAGCCCGGCTCCCCGGCTGCTGGCCAGCAGCAGGCAAGCAGCTGTGCCCGGAGTGACACGCCTGCCGTTGCCACTGGCCCCTTGCCGTCGCAGGGCCGGGCGGTGAGCGAGCAGGAGGTGCCCGTCAGCCTGCTGCAGCGCAAGGACCGGCTCAAGGTGCTGCCGGGGGCGCGGCTGCCGGCGGACGGCACCGTGGCGGAGGGCAGGTCGTTTGTGGATGAGAGCATGATCACAGGAGAGTCGGTCCCTGTGACCAAGAGACCGGGGGACACGGTCATCAGCGGTGAGGCGCCTGGAAAGGACGGCTGTGTTTATGTGTGGCGCGTATGTGTGGTGTGGTGTTGTGTGTGTGTGTGTGTGTGTGTGTGTCGAGGGCAGTGTGCGGGCAGGCGGCCGCTGCCTACCCGGCCTGCTGCGGCCCGGCCGCCGCCCCACCTGCAGGCACGGTGAACGGCAGCGGCATGCTCATCATTGAGGCGGGGCGGGTGGGCAAGGACACTACGCTGTCGCAGGTGGGTGGGCGGGCCTGGCTGGGCATGCTGCACCGTGCAAGCCCGCAGCCAGTGAAGCGCGCTGCCACGACCAGACGTGCAATCTCAGCTGCCGTGCGCTGTCCTTCCCGCCGCACCCACAGATTGTGAGGCTGGTGGAGAGCGCCCAGATGAGCAAGGTGCGTGGCGCGGCCAGCGCTCGCCACCCAGAACGCCAGTCCCAACCCTCGCACTCCTCGCTCACCCTGCCGACCCCACCAGCAGCCAGTCATCTGCGCCCCACCCCACCGCGCCCGCCTCGCTCCCTGCCTCCCTGCCCCGCAGGCGCCCATCCAGGCCTTTGCGGACCGCCTGTCGGCTGTGTTTGTGCCCATCATCATCGTGGCCGCCTTTGCTACCTGGCTGGCCTGGTATCTGGGCGGTATCCTGGGATCCTACCCCGACTCCTGGATACCCGCCGGCTCCTCCCCCTTCCTCTTCTCCCTCCTGTTTGGCATCGCCGTCATCGTCATCGCCTGCCCCTGCGCTCTGGGCCTGGCCACTCCCACCGCACTGATGGTGGGCACAGGTGCGCGGGATGGTGCTGGGGCTGGGGCTGTGTGTGGTGGTGGGGGGGGGGGGCGGGAGGCAGAGCAAGGGCATGGGCATGGGCGCCCGAAGGAGCATGCACTGCCGGAAGCGGAGCGCTCAAACTCAGACCCTCATGGCTTACATGCCTGCCACGAGCCTCCCCGCCCCGGCCCTGTCCGCCCCGCTCCACACACACGCACACAAACGCGGCTCACACCAGCGTACACACATTCACCTCCACCCACACCCGCGTGCAGGCGTTGCCGCCCAGAACGGCATTTTGATCAAGTCTGCCGAGGCGCTGGAGAAGTGCTCGGGGCTGGGCACCGTCGTGTTTGACAAGACGGGCACGCTGACGGAGGGCAGGCCCAGCGTGGTGGACTGCTCCGTGGTGGACCCGCAGGTGGGGCGGCGGCTGTGGGCATGTGGTTGCAGGCTTGTCTTTCAAACAGCATGAACTGGTGGGGCTGCCGCTGGCTGCAGTGCGTTTGGATCTGGCTGCCGTGCATGCTTTGCCCAGCCCACAATCGCCTGCCCCTGCCAGACGCCAGATCGCCTGCCAGTCCCTCCCCGCCGTCCTGCCCGCAGTGGCCTCTGGACAAGGTGTTGTACCTGGCAGCCAGCGCGGAGAACGGCAGCGAGCACCCGCTGGCCAGGGCCGTGCTGCGCTACGCGGCGCTGCGCCTGGAGGGCGGCCAGGCGCTGCTGGTGCGGGAGCCGGACAGCCCGCAGGGGTCCCGCCAGGGCTCGCAGGCCGCGGAGGAGGCGGCCGGCGCCGATGGCGGGCTGCAGCCCACCGACAGCAACCTGGCGCTGCTGGCTGATGCGGTGAGGCTGGCTGGCATCTGGGCCATGCGGTGGAGGCAGGAAGTGGCGGGCCCCTGTGCGTGTGTGCCTTCTGGAGCGTGTGCGCTGCGTGCGACGTGTGGGCAGGATGCGCCCATGGCAGGTTGCGCCCGTAGCGCGGTGCTTAGCATGCCTGCGCCTGCGCCTGCTGCGCCTGCTGCGGTGCAGGCTGCGCCGCCGCATGCCGCCGCCGCCGAGCCGCTGCCCGGCGACCAGGCGCTGCGCAGCGTGAGCTGGCTGGCTCCCATCACCGGCTCGGAGGCGCTGCCTGGGCGCGGCGTCAAGTGCTGGCTGGCGTGCCCCACGGCGCGCGTGGCTGGCGTGCTGCCCGCCCTGGTGGCTGGCCGCACCGCCAGCGCCCTGGCCGGCAGCAAGAGCCCCGGCCGGCCCACGGGCGGCAGCCCTGCCAGGCTGGCGCCGCTGCCCGCAGACGGCAAAGGCGCGGCGGGGGCGGCAGCCGAGGCGGGCCTGGCCCCGCTCACGCCGGACGGCGAGGAGGAGGGCGGCGCGCCGGGCGGCGGCGGCGGCGCTGTGGAGGTCAGGCTGGCCATTGGCAACCGGCGGCTGATGCAGGAGGAGGGGATCACGCTGAGCGCTCAGGCACGGCGCGGCAGGGGCGTTGGTGGCGGGCGTGGGGGCTTGTGGCTTGTGTGTCGAGTGTTAGTCCAGAGAGGCAGCTGCCGCCCGCTCCCTCGTGCACAGCCCGCCCCGGCCAAGCCTGCTCGCGGCGCGTCTCGTTGTTCGCATGTGCACGTGCTGAGCCGGCCAGCCGCCCTGGCCTGCGCCCGCAGGTGCACGAGTGGATGCGCGGGTATGAGCGGGAGGGCGCCACGTGCGTGCTGGTGGCGGTGGAGGCGCGCCTGGTGGCGGCCTTTGCCGTCAGCGACCCGCTCAAGCCCGAGGCGCCCGCCGTCATTGCGGCCCTCAGGTGGGAGGCGCTGGGGCCATGCGGCGGGCTCGCGCTGTGTGTGTTGGGTAGCGCCTTCTGCTGCTGCTCTGCGCTGGCACGCGCGCCGGCTCGCGTGCCTGGCGCGGCACACTTTCTGCTGCCGCTACTGTCGGCCGGGGGCGGTGGGCCGGTCCCGGCCATCTTCACACCCCCATGCGGCGCATCACGCGCCTGCCTGTTGCGTGCCTGCCTGTGTGCCGTGCCTGGTGCGGCGCATGACGTGCCTGCCTGTTTGCGTGCGTGCCTATGCATGCATATGTGGTGCAGGCAGAAGGGGCTGCAGTGCCATATGGTGACGGGGGATGGCTGGACCACCGCCCGCTCCATCGCCTCCCGCCTCGGCATCCTGGACGTCAGCGCAGAGGTGGGTGGGGCACGGGGCAAGCCTGCTAGCCTGCCAGCCTGCCAGCAGCGGCCGGCTGGCCCTTGAGCAGAGGCTGCGCCTGCCGGCCGTGGCACCTGCGTGCTGCGCTTGCGTTCTCAGCGCTGCCACCGCACCGCCCCCCACCCCCTCCCTCCCTGCCCGGCAGGTGCTGCCAGCGGGCAAGGCCGAGCACATCAAGAAGCTGCAGCAGGGCGGCAAGCGTGCGGTGGCCATGGTGGGAGACGGAATCAACGACTCAGGTGGGTGGGTGGGTGATCGGGTGGGCGGGAAGGTGGTGGCGCCTGTTGGCTCGCCTGACACGCCTCCGCCTTCCCGCCCTCCGCCCCACTCCGCCGCTCCTCCCCTCCTCCCCCAATCCATCCTCCCGCCTGCAGTGGCGCTGGCCCAGGCCGACGTGGGCATCGCCATTGGCAGCGGCACAGACGTGGCTGTGGAGGCGGCTGACTATGTGCTGATGAGGAGCGACCTGGAGGATGTGCTGGTGGCGCTGGACCTCAGGTGTGGGTGGGTGTTGATGTGTGTTGGTGTGTGATGGCGTGTGCTGGTGTGTGCGTGTGTGTGTGTGTGTGTGTGTGTGGAGGGGTTCAGGTGGCGTGTTGATGGTGGATGGCATCTTCATGGTGGGCCCCGACAGCTGAGGCGTCACCCGCCCTGCCCCCGCAGCAAGCGCACCTTCCGCCGCATCCGCCTCAACTATGTGTGGGCATTCGGGTGAGCCGCCCCGCCAGCACCTCTTCAGAGACGTTTGATTTGAGCCGTGGTTGCGTGGTGCCCCCAGCGGCTGCCCTTGTGCCTGCCACTGTGAACCATGGTTTGCGGCCTTGTGCCCGCAGGTACAACCTGTGCGCGGTGCCGATTGCGGCGGGCGCCCTGTACCCGCCGCTGCACTTCCAGGTGGGCTTGTGCCACCCTTTCCAAGCTGGGTATGCGGTTTGCTGGTCGCCTGAGCAGCCATGCCTCTGCTGTCAGCTGCTGAGCCTGTGCACCCCCCCATGTGCCCCCTGCCCCTGCAGCTGCCGCCGTGGGTGGCGGGCGCCGCCATGGCGCTTAGCTCTGTGACCGTGGTGTGCAGCAGCCTGCTGCTGCGGCGCTACCGCCGCCCCAAGCCCGCGCTGCAGCAGCTGGTGACTGTGTCGGCGGGCGCGCTCAAGGCATGATGCGGCGCGTAGCAGCGGGGACGCGGGATGTGAGGGGCATTTCATGGCAGTACGATAGTCGCGCCGTTCACAAGCTTTCATCTCAGGTCTGCTCATCCAATCACATGTGTCCCCGCACCCAATTTTCAACCCATCCTTCTGGCGTACCACTTACTACGGGCACACCATCGCCCTTGTACCTCATTTTTACATGCATGCGTTCCTGTTTCTGCTCGATGGATAGCCTGCTGTTCATTGCGTTGCATCACCTGCGCTGTATATTGGCACTTAGTGCAACTGTTGTCACTCGACGGGTCAGGGCGCCAGATGTCATGAACGATGCACATGCTGTTCAATAGGGCTCAGCCCGCCAGCTGCGCTGGCACCGCGCACATTGGCAGCTGCGAATTGGTTGCCTGCAGCGCCGCCTGCAGCTCCCCAGCAAAGTCGGGGTTCGCTTCCACCGACTGTGCAGCCCCTGCATGCATGCCATGTGGCGGGCAAGGAAATGGTGTCAAGGCGAGCGAGTGGAGCCCAACACAGGCAGCGTGCACCAGCCCGGGAGGCACGCAGGCGCCCCCTCCCTGTCACATTCTGCCACGCCAGGCGGGCCCACCTGCCAGGTGGCCGGCGACCTTGCTGCAGCAGGCCAGCGCCGCGCGGGCGACGCCCCTGGCGGCGGCGGCCGCCAGCGGCCCGCCATACGCCAGTGCCATGGCGGTGGCATCCTGCCCAAACTCTGGGCTCTGGCAGGTGTTCATCTCCCACCCAGCAGTGGCAGCCCTGGCCACTGCGCTGGCCCCAGGTTCGGCCCCAGCCAGGCTCTGCTGCAGGGTGGGGATCGTGGTGGCGGGGAACTGCAGGCCGCCCGCGATGGAGATGGCGGCAGATTGGGTGCCTGCAGCAATGCGGGACAGGGTACATTGGAGCCTGAAAAAGGCACAGGCATGGTGCTGGCCGCTGCACTCCCAGCGAGCCCACCTGCGGCCAGCACTGCTTGGGTGAAGGCTTCAGCGTTGCCGTAGAAGAGCGCCGAGCCGAGGTCCCACTGGTCGCCACCCGTGGCCGGCGGGGTCAGGGTGGTGTCATAGCCACCGTAGCCACTCTCAAACCCAGCCCCGCCGCCTGACTTGAGGTCTCCCAGAGGTCCCAGCAGACCGCCGGCCTCGACGCCGGGCGGTAGCAGCACTGCCGGGACAACCTCGGACGCCTGGGAAGGGACCTCCTCTCCCAGGCCGGACGGGATCTCTTCTCCGCCCTTCTGCTGCATGGGGATCTCCTGCCCAACTTGGGCCCAGGCAGCAGGGCAGGCCAGCAGTAGCACAGCGGTCAGTGCCAGCAGCGCTGGGCGCCCCTCCAAGACTGCCATCTGCACAGTGTTTGACTTGGCGGCGAAGAACGAGGAGGTTGCAACAGCAGTGACGCTGGGAAGTGGGACAGGCACTGAGTGCCGCGGGGTGCGCTGACGAGGCGCTGCTTCCGCCATCTTCGTGCATGTCTTCTCATGATCAGGACATTGCACTTGCCCCATTGGTCGACCCGCCACTTGATTGATCGATTATCTGCCCCCACCCTCGGCAGCAGATGGCTGCCCCAACCCTTGCCAACGGAGGGGCGTGCCCGCGGTGCCGTCGTGCACATAAGCTTGCATGGCAGACAGGCATCTCACACAGCCCACCCGTTAAACCGTCTGCTTGATAAGCAGCATGTCAAATAGTAATGATGGCTGGCTGCACCTGCCTGTGGAGTGTCACACGGAGTGTGCGAGGCCCGTCCCCGCCGCTGCTGACGTGGCGAGGTTTCCTCATTGACGCGCAACCTAACACCCGCGCTCTTGCCACATCAATCAGGGGAGGGGTCAGACGTCGCGGTCAGCCGCTGCAGCTACCCACCAGCGGTGATTGCGGCAAGACCTCTCCTCCACGTTTGGGGGCCTCTGGGCTGCTCCACGCGCTTCACCTCAGCTGCCTCCGATCCACGGGCCGGCATGCAGACTGCGGCCCGACACTCGGCCTGCCTTGTTGCGGGCAGCGGCAGCCTGCTGCAGCAGGTGCAGGCGGTGCTGCCCGCCCTGACCTTTCAGGTCACTAGCTTGACGAGCCTGTCCCGCAGCAGCGGGGAGCAGAGGTGGCCGCACGGCGTCAGTGGCGGCGGCGGCGGCGCCCTTGCCCTCGCCGCCAGCAGCAGCAGCAGAGCAGCCGGCGCAGTCCTCATCCTGCCCGGCCAGCACCTTGTGCAGCACACACATGCGCTGCAGCAGCACCAGCAGCAGCAGCAGTTGGGGCAGCAGCGACGGCCCATCTTCAACTTTGCGGGGCTTGGCGGCGACCTGGCCAAGTCTCACCACGAGAAGAAGCTGCTCGGGTGAGCAGCAGCTACTCCCGCAGCTGTGGGAGGCGTGCCGCGCAGGGCTTGGCTGCGTGCTCGAGTGCCTAGCCGCCTGCCAGGCCTCCCGGCTGTTACAGGGCGGCTCGCCCTCTGCCGTCTTTCCCGCTGCATGCCACCCACCCATTCGCCCTTCCCGCCCGCTCCTCCCCCTGCCTCCGCAGCTGGACCCCGCGGCAGGTGTACGACGTGGTGGCAGCGGTGGAGAACTACAGCCAGTTTGTGCCGTGGTGCCAGCGGTCGGCGGTGCTGGTGCGGCGGCCGCCGGGCTACCTGGAGGCGGAGCTGGAGGTTGGGTTCCAGATGTTTGTGGAGAGGTGGGCTGGTGTGTGCCTATCTGTGTGTGTGTGTGTGTGTGTTTTGTGTGTGTGCGCTGGTGGTGGTGGTGATATTGATGGTGGTGGTGGGGTGCGTGCAGCGATAGTGGCGGTCAAGGTAGGCGCGAATAGAAGCGGGGCTGCCATGGGTGGCTGCCCCATGCAACCTGCCGTCTGTTGCCTTGCTCACCTCGCGTGCACGGGCACCCCCACCCCCGCAGGTACACATCCAAGGTCACGCTGCACTGCCCCACCGCGGTGCACTCGCGTGTCGACGACTCCACCCTCTTCTCCCACCTCACCAACAAGTGGGAGTTCAGGTGTGCAGGACAAACACCACAGGACAGTGCCAGGACCGAGACACGCGGCACCTCCGCCGCCGTCGCAATGGCTGCCTGCTTGACCGCATGCTGCCGCGCCCCGTCTGCTGCGTCCCGTCTGCTGCGCCCCTTCTACCTGCTCACCACCCATCGCCGCGCACCGCCACCATGTCTGCGCAGGCTGGGGCCCACCCCGCACACCACCTGGCTCACTTTCGAGGTGGACTTTGCCTTCAAGTCTCCTCTGTACCGCCAGGTGGCCTCCATCTTTTTCGAGGAGGTGGGTGGCGGTATTTGGCGGCACCTGTCGGTACCGACGAGCCAGGCCGCACCTGGTTGCTAGTGTGGCCGAGGCGCGGCAGTGCTCGCATGCATGCGGGGCTGCGCTCTTGCCACGTCCGCAGGCTGGCGGCGTGGCTCTTGAGCTCGCCTCAGTCCCACGCGCCGCTGGCTTGCTGGTGCTGCAGGTGGTGCAGCGCATGATGGGGGCGTTTGAGGGGCGCTGCGCCCAGGTGTACGGGCCCTCCTCGCTGCACCGCCGCCCAGGGCCCGCGCAGCACGTGGCAGCCGGCGGCCGCTGAGCTGCTGCGCCGAGGTCCGTGGCGGCCTCCAACGATGGCAGTCGATTCAGGCACTGTCCAAACAACTCTGCGCTTCCTGCTCTTCCTTGACCCAAGCTGCTGGGCCGCTGGCGCCATGCAAGTTGCACAATCCGATGCTCAACACACTGCAACAGTGGCACTGATGTAATCTGTTGTGCTTGCCAAGGAGCACAGGCTGTGCAGCCCAGCTGGTGGGTCATGGAAGCTGGCGTGGCGGCCCCGCCCAGGCTTGCATGCACGATGTGAAGAAGGCCATCTGGGTCGTCAAACTGCAGCAGCACAACAGTTCTTCAAGTTGTGGCAGCTGAGCATGCCCAGGCTGTTGGCACCAGTCATGAATGGGACGAGGAGCGGTGCCTGCCATAAACCTACCTGGCATTGACGGCCCGCCGCAGAGCCACAGTGTCCTCTGGTGCAGCGACCGGGTCCGCATGCTGTCGTGCCAGCGCTCGCCCGCACTTGGCCTGCACCAGTGCTGCGGTTCGACGCATGCCGGCCAGGCCTTGCTGCCACTGCTCGGCGCAGCCCTCCCAGTTGTCTTGTACGGCTGGGGTGGTGGGGCGATGGAACTGCACCCTGCAACGGCGAAATCAATTAGTGGGGGCGTGATTATGAGCATTCAGATAGGATTGATGCTGTGCCCAGCACGGATTTCCGCACCGGTAGGTCGCCAGCGGCGGCGTCTGCGGCACGTCGCCGCGCCTATCCGCAGGCGCATAGCACAGTTCCCGCTCTATCCCAGCTCGGCTGTCTTTTGATGGCGAAGCGCCGGCCTGCAGGAAGAGCACAAGACAGAGCACGACATTGCGCCCCCGTGACTTCGAAAGGCTTCGAAGTTTCCGCCGCGGCGTCAGTCTGTTCTGGACTCACCTTGTATCGGTCTTGTGTACCACAATTGGCCCGCATGATGTGGGGGACGAGGCGCCGGCACAGAGTCGGAAATGCAGGTGCTGAGAAACGGGTCCAGCCTCGGCTCTGTAGTGAGTGACGGGCTTAGAATCGCATGTGGAATGCCAAACAAGAGGTTGCACGCGTTGTCGTGCGGGGCCTGCTGAGCGAGGCGTGCCCGCTGTGGTGGGCTGCCCAAGGGCGGAAGAGGGCCTGTGGCTGGCTGACTCTCAAACGGAAAGGAAATGCCAAGCACCCGCATTTCCCTCGTCTGATGCAAGAGGAGACCCATGCGTTTGCTAAAAAGAGGCAGAAACAAAATTGATACAACCAGACATGCGGTGTCGCAACGCTAGGCCGGCGCCGCCTGCTGCTGCGGCTTAGAGCGCCCTGGGCTGGACAGCGGGCTGGCGGCGCTGCGGGCGGAGTTGCTGCCGCTGTGCGGCAGCCCGGAGGCGCCAGCGCCAGCCGCCCGCTGCTGCTGAATCTCCTTCATCTGCGTCGCCAGCGCCTTGCCCGCAGCATTCATCTTGGTGCTGGCCTGTCTGAAGAACTTGCCTGCACCAGGCACGCAAACCGCATGGATTTGTTGTCAGGCATATGTTTCAAGGGTTGGGCACATGTGCCTGCTGCATGATGCATGCATGCCAGAGCCTGCAATACTTTGCTCAACTCACCGGCCTGCTCCTTGAAGCTGCCCTGCTGCCGCATTCTGTGGGGGTCGCCGCCATCGGCGCCGCCACCACCTGGCGGGCTCGCCTGCTGCGCATGCGAGTGCTGCGGCGGGCGCTGCGGGCTGGCTTGTTCCAGCCACGCCTGCATCGATGCCTCCTGCTGCTCCGCCGCCTCCCGCGGCTGGTGCTGCAGCGAGGTCTGGCGCCGCAGGTAGGCCAGGCTGCGCCCCAGCGACGCCCCCACCGCCTCCCGCGGCGCGCCGCTGCTGCCGCCGCTGCGGCTGGAGCCGGGGCCGCCGCCAGCGCTGCCATCCGATCGAGCCGACAGCGTGCGGCGCACAGCGGTGTAGTTGGGCAGGGCGGCGGGTGGCGCCTCCCCAAACTTGGTGTGCTCAGCTGATGTGGTGAAGTCGGGGTCAAGGCTGCGGGTGGCCGACAGCCGCAGCTGCAGCGAGGGCCGTCTGGCTGCCGCCTGTTGCCCTGCCGCCTCCTGGACCGCCTGCTCCGGCTGCCGCTGCTGCTGCTGGGGCTGGGGCTGGCCTGCGCCGGCTCCCAGAGGGCCGCTGGCCACGGGCTGGCGGCGCAGCTGCTGCGGCGCTGCCTGCCACGCCTGGTCAGCAAAGCGCGGCGTGGGCGCCTCGCCGGAGCGCTCCTGGGCCAGCGCCGCATCCCAGGCGTCTGCTGCGGTGGGGAGCCTGCCCTGGGCCGTGGCAGCCGGTGGCCTGAAGTCCACGGCAGCAAGCTGCTCCGGCCCATCACCGCCGCCGTCAGCCTGATCGTACCGAGGGCTGATCAGGTGACCCTCGCTGCTGCCGCCGCCGGCAGCTGCTGTGCCTCCAGCCGCGCCGGCAGGCTCAACCGGCAACTCTGCGGCGGCAGAGCCCTGCAGGCTGGGCAGGGACAGCGAGGCCTCCACATCCAGCTCCTCCTGCTGCTCGCTGCTGCCGCCGCCAGAGGAGCGCCGCCCGGCCTCTGCAGCGCCGCCCGCCGCCACCGCCACCGCCATGGCGGGGGGAACGGCTGCTGGCTGGGGTTTGGATGGAACAGCAGCTGAAGCAGGTGCAGGCTCTTCTGCTGCCTGAGGCTCGGCTGCCATGGCAGGCATTGCAGATGCAGGTACTGCTGCCGCCTGGTCACCAGCTGGACCTGCTGCCGCCAGGTGGCCAGCCGGCGCCGCAGCTGGCTGCTGCACGGCTGGTGCAGCCACTGCCACGGCTGCCGGCACCGCCGCTGGCTGGCGTTTGGCTGGCGCTGCTGCAGCTGCCGGCACAGCTGCTGGCTGGCACTTGGCTGGCTCTGCCGCCGCCTCATCCTCAGCGGAAGGGGGTGGCGCCAGCACAGCTGGCGGGGCTGCCTCCTCTGCCACGGCGGCAGGTGTCGGCACAGCCTGCCGCTGCTGCTGCTGCTGCTGCTGCTTGCTGCTCTCCTCCTGCGCCTCTTCAGCTTGAGGTGCTGGATCTGATGCCGCATGGCCGCCCGTAGCTGCAGCAGCCCCAGCCGGCTCTGCACCAGGCCCTGCCGCCCCGGGCGCAGGCCGCTGCTTCTGCTGCTGGCGCGGCCGCTTGGGAGTCGGCGCCGGCGCCGCCCCACCTGCTTGCTGCATGTACTTGGCCAGGGCGGGCAGGCTGTCCACGGCATTGGGGAGGTCCAGCCCCATGAGCGGCGCCAGCGGGATGTCGCCGCCGCCTGCAGCAGCCGCAGCAGCACATACCAGGCGGGTAAGCAAGTCAAGGTACACCAACCCTGTTGCAAGGAACAAGGAGGCACCAGTTGCCAGGCATGCACGCGAGGCTTGCCATGCATGCCATGCTGCCCAACACAGAGGCTGCCACACATGCAGGCGCTGCGCCTCCCCCCCACCCCCCCACCCACCCGCCCACCCACCGGGGGAACACCATGTTTTTGGTGATGGCGGCGCGCAGGCGGTGCTCGATCCAGGCGCTGACGCGGGCGATGTGGTAGCTGTACTTGAGGAGGCGGCCCGCCAGCTGCGCGGCGGCAGGGGCCAGGGGCAGGAGAGGGACGGCACGGCGGTGTGAGCCGGGCTGCTGCAGGGGCACGCAGGGAGAGCCATGCGGCCGCCCGCCGCCGCCAGTCGACAGCGGCAGCCAGGCGAGGCAGCCCCAGCCTTCCCCGGCCCCCCCCAGCATGCATGTATACCTCTGGCTTTGCGACGAGCTCGAGGTGGGGGGGAGACACAAAGGCGTAGAAGAGGCGGTTGCCCGGCGGCGGTGGCACCCAGGCGCACATTGTGCCTTCCAGAGCGCTGAACGTCAGGCTGAGGCGCAGCGGGATGCTGCAGGCGGGGCGCGCGCAGGGGAGGAGCCGCTCAGCCCGACCCTGCCAGCATGCAGACCCCAGCCAGGCCAGGCTGCTCACAGGCGCGCGGCAGACGCGGCGGGCACGGCTGGCACCTCCGCCCCGCCCCGTGCCTCACCGCGAGATGTGCGCGGCCGTGCTCTCCGCCAGCTGGCGCAGCTTCTTGGCCGCCTGGCGGCGGATGCCGCCCATGAAGCCCCGCCCTGCGCCGCCCCGCCCGCTGCCGCTGCCGCCGTCCAGCGAGGCATCGTCTGATGCCGCAGAGCTGTCGGGGCTGAGCGGCTCCCCCTCCTCCTCACCCTCCTCCTCGCCGCCACCGCCGCCGCTGCCGCTGCCGCCGCTGCCGCCCAGGGCAGGCGCGGAGGCTGCATGGGGCGGCAGCGCCTGCACGCCGACATGCCCCGCCACGCTGGCGCTGCTGCCGCCCCGCTTCTGCTTGCCCTCTGCCAGCCGCGTGAGCGCCTGGTCCAGGCGGCCCCAGGCGGCGGCATCCCGGATGTCCACCTTCGCCTCAATCGTCACAGTGAAGCCGCCTGCCTCGGCAGTAGGAGGAGGAGGAAGAGGGAGGGACGAGGGGCAGGTGGGAGCGGCGGGCGCGGCCGCGTGCAGTGCAGCGCCAGGCTGGCAAAGGCAATGCCGGCTCTCAATGTGCGCATGCAGCTGTCCCAACCTTGCCCTCCCGCCACATCACCACCCAGCCGCGAGCGCGCTGTGCACCCTACCCCAACCCACCCACCCACCTTGGTAGCTCATGTCGAACACAACCTGGGGCCAGACGGGGGCGGAGGGCTGC